AAAGAACCATGGAAGGGAGTGAAAGAGCAGATAACTGAACTCCAGTCACGCAAAAAAAAAAAAAAAAAAAAAAAAAAAAAAAAAAAAAAAAATCACATGTGCTGGAGGCTTAATCCCCTCTGTTCTGGTGCTAAGGTAGTGGAACTCTTAACAAGCAAGGCCTGATGGGAGGAATTGGATTTTGGTGACACCATCTTTGAAAGGATGAATGCTGGTTTCTCATGGTGGATTAGTAGATTGTTATAAAGAAACACACCTATGCATGCGCGCATGCACGCACTTGGCCCCTCTGCACACAGCCAGTCTCCCTTTCTGCTTCTCTGCTGTCATAACACAGCCAGCAGCCTTGCCACAATGCCAGGGCCATGCTGTTTGGACCCTCCAGGCACCAGAACCATGAGTCAAATAAACCTCTTTATAAGTCCCCCATCATGAGGAGTTACTGGGCCTCTGGTATGTCGTTATTACAACACAAAATGAACTAAGATGCGCTGCCCAGTGTCATATGTGCTATATAATTGGTGCTCAGGACTTCTTTCTGCAAACAAAACCACAACCTATTTAATGTCTCTAGGGAGACGTTTATAACACTGACAACAATATGGGGGGAGGGGAGGGGAGGGGACGCGCAGATCAACGTCCTCAGTTTCCTCTTGAACCGAGTTTTGAAGTGGGAGTGGAAGTTGGCTGGAGGAAGAAGAAAGAAACATTATTGCAACACCTGCATAGCCTGGAGGCTGGAAGAGTAAGTCCACTGTGGGGACCCTGAGCCACGAGCCACGAGCCATGAGCCACATAAAGGCTCCCGCAGAAGGAGGAGGCAAGAGGCGATGCCCGGGAAGTAGGCTGGGCAGGAGGCAAACCAGCGAGGCCAGACTGGGGGAGCTTAGGCAGGAAGTGGGGAGCCAGGGGAGAAGGGGAGCAGGCAGCAGACGCTTACACAGGAGCTTCAGATCGCTTCCCTGCTGAAGGATGGATCATGGATCGCAGGAGCCCAGACAGCGAGCAGGGAGACAGTTTTTGAGAAATCCCTGAAATTCCAGGCAGGAGACTATGAAAGCCTGAACCAAGATGAGGTCAGGGCACATCTAAGAGACACAAGGTTTCAGCTGAGCAGTGGCCTAGGAAAGCAGGACCCCGTGGAGGGGTGTGCAGACAAGACACAGCCCGCAGCTGTGTGCATTCACCCTGACTGACCTCCTGTCCTCGCCCAGTTGGGAAGGAGGACGCCTGGCAGGGCGGCGCTGGGTGCTTTCTGTAGCTCACCAAGGCTTCCAGCATCTGCCTGAAGGTGCAGCATCCCCCCACTGTATAGGTCAGCAGCTTAGGGCTCAGGAACTGCTGCACACCCCCGCTGCGGTGTAGCGCCCCCCCCCCCCCCCCCCGCCAGCCTCTCCAGCATCCCTGGCAGTGCCTGCTACCTCCGCACGCCCTTCTCCTCTCCGACTCACCTCGTTACCAGACAGGTGGTACATCCTGGCCTCCTGGAGCAGCGGAAAGACCTCCGGGCACTGCCTGATAAGAGGATCGGCCTCGACCATGTCTACAAAGTACCACTGGTCCAGAAGCGGCAAGCGCACGTTCTCCAGGAGGCAGGGCAGCAAGCAGAGCCGCTCCGGCTGCTTGTGCCTCACCCAGCTCATGACCGTCTCGAACACCTGAGCCTCCTCCGTCACGTACAGGTCGTCGCTCTTCAAAATGTGGTGCAGAGTGTCCACAGGAAGCTCCAGGAACTCCTCGGAGCTGAGAATCTGCACAAAGTTCTGGATGATGTAGTGCTGAACCTGCTTCTTGAGAGAGTCCAGGGAGTGCGTGTCTGCCAGCCTCAGGATGCCCACGCAGTTTTCTGGGTTCAAGGCCCCGGTGAGGAAGCTGGCACAGGCGTCCACCATCCGCAGAAACTAACAGGAAAGAAGAGGGGCAGAAGGCCCAAGAGTGAGGAGACCACAGGGATCTTTGTCACTGAGCTGCATGTAGTCGTGTAAAACTAGAAACGACCTAAATGTCCAACGATGGAGGATTCGATAAATAAATGATACATTTATGCAGTCAGCAGTTCTATAATCATTTAAAAAAAGTTATAGAAGAATATGAATGTGGAACATGTTCATAATGCATTGCGCCTTTAAACATCTCTTCACTGAATCTGACTCAGCCTCTAGATTGATTGATTGATTGATTGATTGATTGATTTTATTCTACAGATGAGGGATTGAACCCAGGGCATTGAACATGCCAAGCAAGTGAGCTACCAATGACCTACACCTCCAGCTCAAGCTTGTAGATTTAATCAGCCATTTATAGAAAATACAGGGGAAATTGAAGTATATTAATTAAATGAATTTTCAAAACTACAATCAGCAAAATACAGACTATGAGAAAATTCACAGAACAAATGATTCAGTGTCTTTAACCAATGCAATACACAGGCAAGGTAGAGAGAGAAGAAAAAGGAGAACCTAAAGATAAGAGATTTAAGGGCTAGAGTAAAGCTGCGTGGTAGAGCACAGCACTAGGGCAGCTCATGCAAGGCCTCAGGTTCCAAAGCTGCAACACACAAACAGGAGAGAGAGGGAGAGAGGGAAAGAAAGGGAGAGGGAGAGAGACAGAAAGAGAGAGACAGAGAGAGGGAGAGATGGAGACACAGACACAGACAGAGAGGGAGAGAGGGAGAGAGAGACAGACAGACAGAGACAGAGAGAGAGACAGAGACAGAGAAGAGGGAAAGAGTGAGAGTGAGAGGAGAGTGAGAGGGGAGAGAGAGAGAGAGAGAGAGAGAGAGAGAGAGAGAGAGAGAGAGAGAGAGAGAGAGAGAGAGGAGAGTCAGTCAGTCTTTAGATCCCTGATTTAAACAACAAAATGTTAGAAAATTTTTTACAATGGTCTTATTCAGTGATATGGAACAATTAATATTAATTTTAGGTGTCACAATGGTTTTGTTATATTTAAGGAGAATCTTTTAAATTTTAAATTTGTACACTGAAATAGCGACAGATGAGGAAAGTCATATGTACATTACAAGACTATTTTTATAAAGAAGAAATACATAGAAGCACAGATGGAAGGACATGCACTAGAATATGAAGAGTTGCTATCCCTCTGTGTCCCCGGAATCCTAGGGCAGATCTTGCTGCAGTCAGAAACAACCTCCCTTTCTCAGGGGCTCGCAGTAGAGGTGCTGGCCTCACGACAGAGGGCTGAAAGGTGGCAGTGCCACGCACAGGCCCTGGAACGTCAGCAGTGGCTCCTTGCCGCTTCCAGTCACAGTTAACTAGCCAGAGTGAATCATATGGCAGAATCTGTCACCAAAGTAACAACCATCTTTGCACAGAAAATGGTCCCATGGAGGTGGGAAGGGAACGCAGTATGTACACATGGTAGTGCAGAGTGCCGCACTTGCCAAGGAGACCATAAGAGGGCGTCTATCTTTACTAGGTTACATACTTATTAACTTATAGAGCACCTAAAATGAATTAGCCTCACTTTTATAATTAAAAAAACTAATTTGTGAAATGACTGCTTAGCCCTCATGTCCCACTTTCCTGTAATCACCACTCTCCCAAGCGCTGGGGTCCCCTGTGCTCCAGCAGCATCCTGCGGATTACAAAGCACTGTCAGTTCCCTTGTGCTAGTAAAAACCACTTTCCAGAGGCACCATCTCGGGTGCAGCATCATTTGCTCACTGGAGCTCAGTGCTGGAGAAGCCCCATCCCCTGTCTCCCCACCTGGCCCTCCATAGAGTCAAGCGCTCAGTGTGCTTGAGCTGGCCAGACAAAGCGGGAGGTGGAAGAGAAGGCCCTGCTGCTGTAGGCTGGTTTCCTGAGGGCAACGCTCCTGGGGCAACAGTGCCCCTGCCCACATCCACAAAGGACCAGATCTGCCCCAGGATGCAGTACACAGAAAAACAACTGTTCCTATTTTGGTGAGAGGGTGGGTGGGCCAGTATGCAGAAGAGAGGCTCTGGTGACAGGAGGTGGAGACATGGCACCATGAAGTCTGAGGGGGAAGAGGGAGGGCAGGACTGGTCTTAGACTAGACCAAGTTGACTAGGGCTCAGCTTTCCCTCCAAAGCACCCTACAGGCACACAGCCAGACTTCGTGTTTCAATCCACATCACAAAATAGGATCTTTCCAGTTTCCCTCTGTCCCTTAGGAAACATTACCCCGAAGTTCAGTGCCAAATTGGAGGAGCCTGGCTTCCGCCCCAGATCTCCCTGTCTGTGGCCCCAACTGCCTGCAGCCTAGCTCTTCGCTTGAGCAACTGTGGAAACGGTTGTGAGCAAGACCCCTAACACCTGTGTAGTTGTTTGCAGATTTCCAGTTCAGAGAATAAAAATATGCAACTGAGGCCAAGAGTCACTGAGCCCTTAGAACCTGTCTCCAGAATCCTCTCTGGTGCATGGGGGAGACATCTATTACATCTAGCAAACCGTCACTTCCGGTGCAAAGGGCCACACCCACCATGATGCCTTGGTGGGAGAAGGTACAAAGTTTGAATGGGTACTTTTAATACTCATCCTCTCTCTGGGCAGCTGCTCAAGACTCGGTAACTGTAGTTACTAGAAAAGGCAGCCTATGACTGGATAGGGCAAAAGAGAATTTGTTTTCACTGCTTACCCTTGTGTACCCTCTCCAGTTGTGTGTAGGAATTACCCTTTTAAAAACAAACAAGTTTCTCAGGGACAAGCCCACTTTTTTCTAATCTTCTGGATTAAAGTACCAAGTGGAGATTATATTTTTGTCTTTGTTATACTGTGATCCCTAAGTTACTTAAGAAACCAAAATATTACTGAAAGAAGGCTGGCAGAACACAAGTGAATTTTTCATTATGGGAGAAAATAACAAGTACAATATCCCCCCTCCTTGCCAACTTCCTGAGCTGAGTAGAAAGCTTGGAAATCCACATTTTTGCTTTTGATTCTACCACTAATTGGTAGAGTTCTAGAACAGGTTAAGTTAACCTTCCTTGGCCTTACTTTCCTCATGTGTAATAATAAAATACTTCATGGTAGCATGACAGTTTTATGACACCAGCAATAGAATAGGAGTATGATCACATTCCATGAAGTGGTATTGTTCTAAATTAGCTCTGGAACAGATTTCTAATAAAGTGCTTGGTTTTAAATTATATATAAAAAAAAAAAAACAAGTTTGCTCAGAAGCAAAGAACATACTGGAAGTAACACATAAAATGCTAATCACAGTTATAAATGATTTTTTTAAGACTTGTGATAGGTTTTTCAGGCAACGACGCAGCAGAGAAACCGAGGCAGAAGAGAAAAGGGAGAGGGACTTTATTATCTTTGAGGACAAGAGAGAATCTGGAGAAGATAAGAGATATTCTAGACTGGAACTAAGCGAGGCCGAGGCGGAGGCTTTCATGGGCTGTTGCCAGGGGTGGAGTTTGGAGGGGACGTTTAGATATCCCTGAGGAGCTGATGGGGCCTTCCCTGAGGCTACAGGAGGGGTGAAAGGACATTGCACCCTGGGCTGAGTTGGAGAAGAAGGGGGAGCTGGTCACTAGGAAGATAAGCTGTTGTTTTAAGGGCTTCTAACCACCATAATAATTCAGCAATTCACACTAGGGCCAGAACCTGAATATTTTAAAAGCAGGGGAAATAGACAAAACAATTATTTCCTTAAAATTTTTAAAGTACACAATGAGAAAATTAAATAGAAAACTCAAACAAAATACAGCTGTTATGCGCCAGCTCCCTTATCCTACTGAGTTATTCTGTCATCTCATCCCAACGAAGTAGAGGTGACGATCATTCCTCTTTTACAGATGAAGATACTAGGCTCTGCGGAGTAATTTCCCCCAAAGGTTTATTGCTAGGAAGAGGTGGAGCTCAAATTGGAACTTGTCTCTGCTGACCCTAAAAATGTGTGTTCTCCACATTATTTTGTTCATGTGGATTTGTTTGTTTGTTTTGGTGGTACCAGGGATCAAACTCAAGACCTTGCACTTGCCAGGCAAGCACTTATTCCACTGAGCTATGTCCCCAGTCCCTTCTACATTAGTTTGAACTGCTTCAGGACAAATAGCATTGGGCAGTGGGCAGCAGACACCACCCTCGTGAGCTCAGTATCTGATCTGCCCAGGTGCCAGAAGGCCCAGCCCCTACCTACTGGACAAAGAAGGAAGCCACAGAGAGAATCGGACTCAGAACTGAATCCTTATTTGTTAGAAACATTGATCCAAGTTCGTCTCTCTCCACTGAGAAGCTGTTGATGCGTCCATTCACACATGCACCCACGTACCAATGCACACTGAGCACCCATGGTTTAGACACTGTCCCCCGGCGCTGGAGCCCAGTGGTGGACAGGAGGAGAAAGCACCGGGGACGCTGGAACTGACAGAGCAGCAGGGAGGCAAAGGCGCGCCACACCATCACACCAAGAGCGTAAGATTATATAACCGTGACCAATGCTGTGTAACAAAGGCCAGAGACTTCACAGCTGAGTCCAGAGTCAGTCACACTCCGACCTCTTAAGCCACCCACAGTTGGCTCAGTCAGCACCAAAGCCTCTGTCCTGGAGCCCCAACCACATGCAGACCTGTCTTGTCCCCTCCTGCAAGCATTCCCTGTTGTGTCTTCTACGCCAGTGCTCTGGCCTAGGCCAGCACAGCCCTTCTTTGTCATCGCTGTTAGCCCCTCCGCCCCTCACCCAGCCCAGGTGATGCCAGAGCCCAGCTGTTTAAGGAATGACCGGGCACAGCTCATTCTATTTCAACTGCAAAGTCCTCTTAAAATCTACCCGACAGGAGGAGTGGATTCCATGCCACCAGTCTATCTACGCGGGGCTGTTTTCTTCACCCACAGTTATTAAGAGAGTCTGTGAGCCCCAGCAAGTGTGGCCCAACCCAACCCTGTGGCATTTTTCTGAGAATTGAGCTTGC